GTGTCAACAACTTCATCGTGTATCAGATTATCAACTTTTTTGATCATTTGATTGAGTCTAACACAAATAACTTGTGAATCTTTTTTATGTTGTTTTAGATACTCTCCCAATACCACATCCTGCCCTGTTAGTTTTGGATACTTTCTATTTGCTTAATTATTTGGTATGAGCAAATATGTTAATTCATTTGTTATGGTTGGAGATGTACAGAATCAGTATTCATTGAAAATCTCTTCTTCTGAAGATGCAGTCCAGTTGACGAGATTGACGCCTTTAGAGTAGCCGCCTTGTATAAATCTGTAAATATCACATTTGGTGAAGCCAATAGTGAACATTTTCATCTTTTCTGAAAGCCATCATTCTAATTTTCGCAAATGACTTTGATCTAGTGTTATGAGAATTTCTTCTCACGGTAACTATTGTCTGGTCAATGATGGTCTTCTAAAAAGTACGCTACAATCATTTCTTATCCAATCACCTAATTTCTAATGGTTATGATTAATTCCTTGCACATAATGTCATGATCCTTATTGTCACTGTCATCATCTGAACGGCCACATTAGTACGATCATGACTCATACTCTCATAGAATCATCACAATATAATTATTTTTCTCATTCTCTCTTATTTTGCTTCTTCAATTTCTTGAAGGGAGCTAAAGGATTTTAGTCTTAATTCTATCCAATTAGACATGGAACTAGTATCCTTCTAACGGAAGGGTTTTGAAACCTGCCATTCCAATTTAACCTATAATTAGAACATTTCATGCCACCTTTCAGGAATGTTTATGTTATGTGTCTACTCAGATCAGATATTAGCTTAGTTTAACATATTTATAATTAGAACATTTCATGCCAATTTGATGAAAATTTTGGATGACATTCTATTTGCCTAATTATTTGTTCTGTAACGTTGTTCTAGCCTCCATATGATTCTACTAAAGAATAACTTTGCTTTTTTCATTGTCATTTTTATGTTAATTTTATTTGTTTACATTTTAGTTCATCTTTGTTATTCACAGCTTGTTCACATTTTAATATATTGCATATACAATATGACAATACTATTAATGGAAGATTTAACACAGGAAAATGACAAGGTTCGGGGAACAATTGCCTAAAAATATGAAAAATAGAAGTAGGAAGAGAGCAATGAGCTACTAAAACTCGTGGCTAATGCTGCCACTCGTGGCTAACATGATAGTAATGACGTGTTAAACAAGATAAAATATATGTACTCCCACATCTTAACTAAAAGATACTCCCCCATCTTAACTAAAAGATTGCAATTGAAAAGGCTTATACCCAATATGAAATTCGTGTGAAAAACAGTCCAAGCATTCTAAACATATGCGTCATAAAATTTGAGATATTGGTTAGTGATGTATATGTTTCATACATTAGCACTTATAAATTTTTTTGATTAATAATTTCATCCCAAAGATAAGTGTTATAGCACAGACACTTTAGCAGGATATGAAGATTTGAGAATTGCAGTTGGAAGTGGAAAGATAGTTGGGACACACTCAATCACACCATGTCATGATACTATGAAAGAACATTTTATACAAAAGAAAGAAGAGTTAGTGACGGTTTAATAAATGACTTAAAGTATGATCCTAATACTGAAGCATTTATACAAACTGATAAACAAGGCTCTTTACATCAGCCACCATCTCTTGGGCACTCTACTCAACCATTTTTCCTTAATCCAATAAGTTCAAAGGTTCCCCAACCAATGCGAAACAAAATAGAACCGAGTTTGAAGCATTTTCGTTTGATCTCAAAAGCACTCAATTAGATATTGTAGACAAACTTGCTTGTACAATTGACAAAATCAATCAAGCTATTGAATCAATTGACACTAGAGAGCATAATTGTTGGGAAATTATTAAGGAGATCCCAAATTTGAATGATGATGACCATTTCAAGGCCCTTGTTTTGCTTAATACTAAAGCAAAGAAGTTCGAGTTTTTGAACAGGAAACTAGAAGAACGTTATAAATAGATAATTTTTAAATTAAAATGAGTCATTTTTTTGGACATTATTAGTAATAAATTTTAAAGTTTGGATTGTTTTAATCTATAGTTTATGGATTTTTTAATTTTGAAATAGTATAGAATTCTAAATTTTTTGAGCTATTTATGGATTGTGTTTTTTGATAGTATATTAGATTAGTATTACTCGATTTGTTTCAACAAGATTTCAGACATTAAACAAATTCGTGGTAGATATGATGGTCAAACTAGGATCCACTGTGCCAGAAAGATAAGGAAAAGTGCAAGATTTTACCCTTACTTTAAAGTAAGTGATGAAATAATATTTATTATAATTTTTTATTTATGTTATCATTAGTGTTCTCACTATTTGTTTGTATTGTTTTATTATTTTAAGATTATATTGAAGCTATTGATAGTACTCATATTGCAGTACTGGTAACTGGACGTGATACAAGCAGTTATAAAAATCATCATGGATTAATTTCACAGAATGTTTTGGCCACTTGTAACTTTGATTTTGGAATTTATATGCGTACCTAGTGGTTGGGAGGGATCGCCATGTGATTCTAAGGTGTTGAATGATGCTTTAACCGCTGACCCCGCGACCCCTCGATAACTGTATTTTTAACCTCTTTTACGACTAATATACAAATGAGTATACCTGTAAATTTTTTTCCTCTCTACACTTTTCATCTATTCTTCTCATTAGATAATTAATCAATTAGGGACCAACTGAAGCTTAGAACTTGAAGGATTCCCTTGTCTGCACAGAAGTGAAACCTACATTTACATTTCATTGGCATTATGATTATAAGATAATATTTTCGCTTCTTTATTTTCCACTAAACTTTCTTCCTTGTTCAGTAGGTACCATAAATATTTTGGTACAAAGCACAAACATGAATTGTCAAACGTTACCAAGCTTAGAAAGATTAATATTGTCCCCATTAATTTCTTCCTTGGAAAAAAATTTGACTACCAAAAACTTTTCATTTAAATCTTACTAGAATATTATCATTATGAAATTTAAATAATTATTATGTTAGATATAAATTTACTGAACTTTCAAAATAATTTAGCTTTCTATTAACATTCGATATACTATACTAATTATTATGTTAGATAAAAATCTCCTTGAACTTTCACAATAATTTAACTCTTCATTAATATTTGATACACTAACATTACCTTAAAAATACCAAAGTTCGTACATTGTACGGGCATACGACTAGTAATATTCAAAAGACTTGAAACAACTTCGAAATTTTATCAAGAATGGCACCTTAGTACCCATACATGGAGGATTATAATGAGATGGAACTTTCACAAACCGTACCAACTCTAAAGATAAAATATTTCTTATAAAATGCAATCTAACATCAACATATTTTGTACGTTCATGATTTACATGATTTGTACATAAATGTATAGCATTCTAACTATCAAAATACACAACACCACCACTTAAAAAGACATAGTTCTTCAAGCAAACTTTTTAACCATAAAGCTTCATTTATTGATTTAGTTGTAGCAATCTATTAAAGATTATGTAAAGAATTAGATTTTCTATTGTCCATAACCCCTGCATAGTCTGCATCCACCAAACTATTTAATTTCACACCTTCAATACTAACCTTAAACGTTAAACCAACTTTACTTGTTCCTCTCGGGTATCTAGGTAACCACTTCAAAGCCTCCAAATGACTTGGACCAGGATTTAATAAATCTGCTACTAAGAGTACTCACATCAAAAGTTAGGTTAAACCATACACCATAATAAACGTAATTGAATCATTTGCATCTGAATATGGAGTCTTACTCATATGTTCAACTTTATCATCTGCTATATCATCATTAGCATATGGTTAAATTTTTAGATAAAATAAAATAATTTATTAAAAGTAATGTAACAAGTTTACATTCATGCATACCAAACTTTTTTAACACGTTCAACAGATAAGAAGTTTGATGCAAAAATAATAAAGAATTTGACATATCTACCTTTATTTCCAAACCTAAGATCATCTTTTGTTTTCCTAGATCTTTCACAAATTCTCTACTTAGCCCCTTGTTTGATAAACATTATTTTAAATTTTTTTCTACATATTCATTTTTAATCACACATTCATTAAAAAAAAATTTTGCACTTAAATTTAAATATTTTCTCTATTTTTTAACCGTACATTATCCTAAAAATCACTGTTTAAAACTTAATTTTCTTCAATTAATGGTTATCAAACAGGCACTTAATTTATCAGTTTCTACAAGAACCCATTAGAAGCATATTAACTTATGTTTGACTCATTTCGAGTGACCTATAAGTACAAATGTACATGACATCTCACTCATTCACTAATATGAAAAGCTTCCTAAGTCCTTGTTTGGGCTCTATTAAAATCAAATTTTGGGTAAAAATATATTTTAGAATAATGACTTTTTGAGAAATGTGCAATTTACATATAATATTATTTTATTAAAGATCGTATAATTAAAAATAAAAAATACATTTTAAATAAAATGAAGCTCAAACATCGGCTAAATATATTTTAAGGAGGTGTTTGATGAATATTTTGAGAAAAGAATATATTTTAAATAGTGATACGATGAGAAATATGTGATTAAAAATTAAGAAAAATTATTGATGATGAAAAATATTATTTTATTGAAGAATGTGTGGTTTAAAATGAATTAGAAAGAATGTCCTGATTTGATTGGCCAAGAAAGTTTTGGCATCATTTTAAACCGTTCACAGTAAAATATCCGACACGTGTCACTCTACCTTCCTCTAACCACTAATATCTCTTCAATGTGCAATGGCTCCAAGCCATTGAAATCCCACTCCTGAATTCCCCTGTTATCCTGGCACTGCCTCCATCTTCACCCGTCCCTCTGGGACAAAATAGTAATTCTATGTTCTCTCTCTCTCCCTCCATAGAATTTGGATAATTGCATAAAATATTGTGAGAATTAAGATTTTTATTTCAAAAAAATAAAAATAAAAATGCATTGTGTGAATCTGAAGGTAGTTACCCATTTCAACACGCGGTCATGGCCGAGTCGACTCGTCGTTGACTCGGATGCTGCAGGTACCAGAAGGCAATGGTTGAATTGTAACAGTAATTATAAACATCAGAATGTAAGGTTAGTCAAGATTGTTGCTTGTAGTACGTCGGAGAATCTGAATCCAGTTTCGGGTTCGGGTCAGGGACAGAATTCGGTTCTTTCTCGGACCCAAACCTATGCTTTGTTGAAGCAGCAACTGGACGTCGCTGCAAAATCTGAGGTAGGTATATATTTATATTCTTTGTACTCTGGATGAAAAAATGTACAACTGTTGAAAGCGTGCAGTTCAACGTACTACAGCATTTTTTTACTGTTCCGTGTGTACAAACCTGCCATTTCGGATTTAATTTTAGTTATCTTTTCTGGTTGTGGGTGAAAATATTTCGATTTTCTAACAATTGATTTGTCTGCAAGACGTTGATATTTAAAATTTTTACGGTTGCTTGATTGAGCACACCATTTTTGGAATCCAAAAGCTCTAGACAGACCTAATTGTTTTTTCAGCATAATGGCTCCGAAACCATATTAAGAGGAGTAGCTGAAATGGTTATATGTTGATTATTTATTTTTTAGGATTGAACCCTTAACAGCAAGCAATGCAACGCAAATTTTGCTTCTCTTTTTTTTGTTCTTTTTTCCCCCCAGTTACTAATGAAGATGCTGTTGAAGTAGTGTAAATCATGGTTTAGTTGCTATATTTACTTTAACTTTAATTCTAATGTTAATTATCGTTTGGTTAGCACTTGTATTAACTTTGAATTGGATATTAATCTACTACCGAGTTTAAGATATGCAGGGTGATTTTCACAGGAAATCATTTCTATTTTGATAGTCTTATGCTGTGATTTGACTTGTTTCCTTTTCTGTTAAACTACATTAGGATTATAAAGAAGCTGCCAGACTTCGTGATTCTTTGAAAATTTTCGAGGAAGAGGAGCCAGTTTTGCGTCTTAAAAGGTTGTTGAAAGAGGCCATTGCAGAGGAGAAGTTTGAGGTAACCCTTTCCCATTATGTAATTATTCTTTTTCTGCTCACATCACTTTGAAAGTTGAGAGAAAGTTGATTGATTGCATATGCTTTTTAGGTGCAAACACTACTTAATCAAATATAAGCGATTTTGAGTTTGATACCCCATTGTCATTTTTGTATACTGAAGGATAATAATTAATATGTGAGGGGAGAGAGTGATTTACAAGTCAAATCTACTTCATATCATTCAGATTTCAGTTTGAGTGGGGAGAAAAGGTGTTTCGAATCGTGTGTTGAATACTACTTAATTCTTGCTTTTCTTTTCTGTTTATTGTAGGCCATAAAAGTGTTACTTCTCTTTCCTTTAAGTTGACAAAAGATTTTCTTTATTCGATGTAACTTTTAAGCATGTTAAATTAAGTATCCTCATCCATATAAACAATTTACTTAATTTTTGAAGTGTCTCATTTCAAATGTTGAATTTTTGAAGTGTCTCATTTCAAATGTTGACTTGGCTTAAAATCTTTTGGAAGCGACAGTATTAATGATTTCCAACTAATTAAATATTGGCATTGCAATGATAATGTAAATGAAGCGTATGATGGTAGTGCCAAATGTCTTGATAACATCGTGATTTTGCATACATTTATATATGAAATTGTGCGAACCTCAAATTTATGGGGAATAAGGTTTGCTTTGTTGTTAAAATGAAATTGGATTTTCTGGCTATATATTGATCAGGAAATTTATGATAGAATTTTTCAATTGGGTTTCTTTGCATCACCGAACTCTTTTGTTTATTGGTGTCTACTCTTATCTATGTATGTACCCCCAGGATGCAGCTAGGTACCGTGATGAGCTGAAGGAAATTGCTCCACACTCTCTCCTGAAGTGCTCTAGTGATGCAACCACTTTGGTATGACACATCAGATATCGAATTGATTGAGTTTTTTGTAACCTGAACACAGTTCTCTTGACTCATCTCATTGGCTTTGTGCTATCATGTCTTTTTTTATCAGTCCAACAACTCATCATTCAGCTGGAACATTGGAGTTACTTTCAAGCTAGTCTGTAAACCTTTTTTGGACAATCAAATATACGACAGATATGCACAATGCATGTACACTCATGGAGCATGAAATTCACAAAACCCACCATTGCTTTCCTTATTTTTTAACTGTAGACTCATGCTTATTGTTGGCTAGTCTTTAGAAGATTCAACTTTTAGATGGTTCCTTGAACCTAATCCGTCTTTTTTTTTTTCCAACTCCATTTGCATCTATTATTTTTATTTTATTCCTGTGCTAGTTTCACTTTTAGATCAACTAGCTGAGTGATATTATATATTGCAACTTGATGTTATTAGATTTGAGTTTTATCGCCTGCATAGCTTCATGTCAACTTGCATGGAACTCTCTCAAGATTCTAGGTGTCAAAAGATTGTCTAATTCATGGAAAGAGAGTCAGATAATTCTGGTTGTCAAGAAGCGGATCCGTCTGATTGCTGACACTAGATCAGTCCCGTATTAGGAGCTTATTTTAACAAGCGGACTTACTATTTTTTCATGTTGGATTTTCCATTCTACTCCTGTCAGTTTTAAGCTTCATATTCATTTTTCTTAACTTTCATAGATCGGAACCTTCGGTTCCTCAATAATTGAACTTCTGTTCAGCAGAAACAGAAACTCCACAGAAAAATACTAGGGATAGGCAGAATTCACCTTTATCTCTACCATCTCCACTTTTTATGCTGCAAATAATGCATTTGATTATGGAATTCCTGTTCGGATTGGAAATTATCCTTCATTTGAAAGATTAAGACTGGGAATGGACAAGTTATTGTAAAATTTCTTGGAAACTAGGTTTAATCCTAGTGCTGTCTCTATTATATCGCCAAAGCAATTCACTTACTGAACAGATATGATCCCAGCTGCCCTTTGCAAGAAATTGGCCCATCCTGATCTCGACAGTAACCTTCTTTCTGGAACTTTTTTATTTTGGACTGGGAGTCTGCTGGTGAGCTTAAGCTCTCCTCCAAATTCTGGGAATTCGAAACACTGGATTGGGTCGAGTTGGTTTTTTAGACTTAAACATCTATACTTGACTTTTTTTGTGCTTCATTAAGTAAAAAAAAAAAAAGACCTTTATGACAAAAAATATAAAACAAGGTCTTCTTTCATTTTAACACTTAAACAAGAGCCTTTTAGGGTGGGGGTGGGGGGGAAGTCAACAAGTAGTTAAAGCATTGATGACTCCTTGTATATCTGGATCAGTTTTTAACCATTCCTTCTTCTTCAGGGCATTAGGGTTCAAGTTAGGAGTGTTTACATAGAAGGCCGAAGTCAGCCTTCGAAAGGTCTTTTCTTTTTTGCATATAGAATCAGAATAACCAACAATTCAGATCGCCCAGTACAACTTTTGAGAAGGCACTGGATCATCACTGATGCCAATGGGAAAACCGAGAATGTCTGGTAAGTTGTTAGTTCTGCCATTCTTGTGCAAAGAGGAAGAGCTGCAATATTGTCTTGATCTTTTATATCCTCCTGTAATTTTGTATTTTCATCATCTTTCTCATTACAATCATTTAGTGGCTTACTAATTAGTTTTGCTTCTAACAAATCTGCCTACTTTCTAAGCAGGGGAATTGGAGTTGTAGGTGAACAACCAGTTATACTTCCCAACACCGGGTTTGAATATTCATCAGCTTGCCCATTGAGCACACCTAGTGGCAGAATGGTGAGAAGGATGAATTATTTTTAATGTACATTTAACATCCTCCCCACCATGAAAACCCGATTGCTTCAAGCTGGCCAGTTTAAGCATAATTTGATCTAGTACCTTACTAGATGACATTGACTTTTTTATAGTTGCCCCAGTTATATATGGAAATTAACATGCGATTTTGAACTCTTCTATCCCCTTGGATCAATAAATCCCACTAACATGGAGCCCTTCAAGCAATAATCAAGCATAAAGATAGGTCTACGAATAAATTATGCTGGACATAAACAGAATTTTTTGCAGACTGGCCATGTTTGAGCTTCCTTAATTCTCGTTTTGATGGAGAAACCTTCTTTATCTGTGTATAAATAATAGAAACATATTTGTTTCTGTTTTACATAGATTTCATTTTTCTTTGTTTTTATCATCTTACAGGAGGGTGACTATGAGATGAAGCATATTGATAAAGTAGGCGCTAGGACGTTCAATGTGGCCATTGCCCCCTTTTCTCTCTCTACATTTGGAGATGGTAGTGATGCTTTTTGAAGGGTTCTGTGGATACGCAAAATGGAGATGGATTATCTCACACGTACTGTTTGTTATATCAGATTGTAACATTATAGCAATAGTGTAATTCTTGAGACATGTCAAAACCTGTATATGTTACCTAAGAAGTGTAAGATATTTAATCATCCCCGTTAAGGATTGTACGCTAGAGACTGATAAATATTTCAAAACAGAATTTTGTCTGGTTTGTAATATGAAGTTATATATGGAACGAACTGTATAGTGTATATATATTGATACTGCAGTGTTGATTAGAAATTGATTGCTTTATTCTTGCTGCATTATCTCTTTATTAACTTCCCGCAGACAAAAATGTAAACAAATAAAGAAAGGAGGAGTACGTGAAAGTGTCTTTTGTTCTTGCAAATTGTTTTTAGATTAGAATACATGTTAGCATTTCTTTTCAATCTCTTTAATTTAGCCTAACTGTTTGGTGCGAAAAAGGTTATGCCCCATAAATCCTGCAATTCTTAAGGTACTTTTCATAATGAAATACGTATTAGCAATTAGTTTTGCTTGCGAGTTTCTTTTTGCTCGTGGCATTAACAGACAGAGCTCAGTACTTGTTTTTCTCGTGTCTTGAATTTTTAGGAGCAAAGTTGGATTCTAGCTGAGTTATGAAGTCACTTCTGTCGGCAATTGGTATGCCCTCTGGCCTGTACTTTGTATTTTTATATGTTTGTGTTCTTGTTTATGTGCATACCTCTATCTGCATCTCGATGGTGTTTATGCTTCTTTCTTACCGAATCATAGCATGTTTTTATCCACAAATTAACTGCTATCTTGATTAAAATTCGTATAAGTTGGTTGAAGGTTCTGATTGAATCATTGGATTTTTTTCTTTTTCTTCTATTTCTTTTTATTGAATTTGCATTGCATAAGACGTAAGTCAGTTGTTCGTTTATGGCAAATCCCGTATTCTGAATTAATGATTACGCGAACTATGCATTTGCCTGTAATCTAATTTCGTTTGGCCTAACTGTGTTCGTGTTTATAGAATGTTAGACTTTATAGGACTTTATTAGAAATTTCACAATTCAATAGCATTTCTTTTTGTTGTTTTGTGATTTAGAATATTTTCCTTTTCCTTTAGGTTAGGCTCGTGATTAGGACTTTGTTGTCTACATTAACCTTATTTTTTGCCAAGATTGAAGGCTGATGGAACATATTTCAGCCAAGATGATCTTTGTGTACAATTCTACTAGTTTTATTTCTCATATTCATTTACATAATGGAGTGAAGAGAAAGGGTTCATGTAGTCGACCCCACATTTATTAAAAGCACGGCTTATTATAGTATTATGATGGAAGGGCATCTAAGTTCAGTCACAAAGAAATACGCTTCATTTCCTTTTTTTTTCCCCTATTTTTCCCTTCAACTTGACAGAAGACTTTGCCAGTCAATTTCTTCACTCCACTCATACATTCACATTGCACAGTTGCTCAGCATTATCCATTTATCCTTACATTTAAGGCGAAGGTTTAGCTCAAGTGGAAAGAGCGGAATTTTACTAGGCAAATGATCTGGGTTTGAGCTTTTTTGGGGGAGTGAAATCTTTTGATTATAAAGTAAAAAGAAAATCCTCACATGGGTTTGATTTGACTAAATAAATATTCTGAATGTGGGTACTGTCAAGGTTGTAGGCTTGTAGGTCTTTTATCAACTTATTCAAGTTTGCATACAATTGCAGATTCTAAAAATTCACAGTTTCTCTTTATTTAAATCAGTAGGTTTATGTGTGGTTTATAGATTAATGCAAAACGTTGGCTTCTATTTAGGAAGAGTAAATACTCGAGTTTGAGATGCTTCTCGTTCAGTAGATTTGTAAAATTCGCTTGGATAAGCGCACATACTAATAATATAGTTGGTGTGGGTTAGGGATGACAACATAATGGGGTTGAAGCAATGCTTCCCGTCATGGGCGGACCTGGGGGGTGGCCTGGGGGGCAGGTGCCCCCCCCCCCCCCCCCCCCCAAAAAAAAAATTTTTTTTTTTTTTTTTTTTTTTTTTTTTTTTTTTTTTTTTT